GGGTTTTCTTTAAAGGCCAAGTTTTTATCGGCTTCCTAGTTTGGTGTAGTGGTTAAGGCATCAGTTTAGGAACTGGGAGGATGGGAATTCTAGTCCTGTTTTAGGTGCAAATCCAGCTTGGGCCAGTCACTTTCTCCCACGCTTTCTGAGAATTGGACATAATTGAAAAAAAGAAGGAAAAAAAGCAATAGGGTAAGAACTAATCTGATTTGGAGGTAAATTATTCCTCAGAAGAAGAGTTGCAGCTAATATATCTCAAGTTTATTATAGTTGTACCAATTTTTCTTTCATGTTATGCTCCCTGATCCTTGTTCCCACCTTCTGGAGATCTCTGCATCTGGAATTTTAGGGGACATTGATGTTTAAGACACTGTTTATGATCTTTATGCTGTTATCCCTACTTCCTCCATCTACTGTATATGTGTGGTTGTGCATGCCTGTGGCTGCACAAAGTTAAAAGGAAGTTTTCCTTTTCCTTATATTTTTAATAAAAATATATTTGTACAGTACTTTTTACTTTTGCTTGCAGCTGCTGAAAAAGGGAGTGGGAATTATTGTTCTTTGGGCCACATAAGTCAAAGCCAGGATGTGATACTGCAGATTTTTTTTCTTTGTCATCATCATTACCCCCACTTTATTAGTAACTAAATCTTCAGGATATGAGTTGCCTTGTCTTTCTCACAAACCAGCATTAAGAGGAAGGATGCCATTGCCCTCCCGCCAATGGCAATGGAACAGTGGCAATGGAAGCAGAAGGACTACAAAATAGCTATGTCACAGCAGAAAGTCAGGATCAAAAGAACGAGTGGTACAAAAGGCTGTGTGGCAGTCGAGGGACAGCCTTTCTCCCTATCTAAACATACCAAGTTCTTGACCCAACATTTTTGGAACGGAATTGAATTCACAATCCCTTCTGGTTTTGTTTTATTATTAAAACATATAAATAATATCTAACCTTAAAGTTCAAATTAAAGCCTGGTTGTAGATTGGAAAAATGATGCAATGTTTGCTGCTTTTAATAAACATCTTGTTTATATTTTAGGCAAAGTCGTGCATCTGTCATATGTGCGGTGCCCATCTGAACAGACTTCATTCTTGCCTGTACTGTGTCTTCTTTGGCTGTTTTACAAAGAAACATATTCACGAGCACGCAAAGGCAAAGCGACACAACTTAGGTAAGTAATTATCCTGGATTCTTGCATTAAAATTATTTGTTTATGAAGGCATGAGCTTTACAATATGGAAAATCCTGCAGTTAGATTGAATAAATTCAGACAGGTTGTCTTTTTTGGCTAAAGAGAATATTCCATATAATCCAGGCAGGAGGGTGTTTAAAAAAAAATTAATATTGAAGCTACCCTGTAATTATGGCCATGATTAATTGAAGCTAAATATGTTATAAATAACCAAAGAGCAGGCTAATAGAAATAAAAGTTACAGTTTCTCATTTTTATGTTCTCTACTGTTATAAAATCTGAAATTAAAGAAAAACTTGCGATTCCTGGGGATTCGTAGCTGAAGAGTTCATTTTAACCAAAAATAGGGAAACAAAACACAATTCTTGATTTGAATGGGATTTCAATATTTATTAAATGATGCAATTTTTTTGTCTGAAGTCAAGTGGCCTGTATAACCTTAGATAGTTTCAGACTCTTTTAACATGCAAAATTTCATTTATTTGTAGAGATACACATTTTTTTATTGAGTTCACTTCAGAGCTTTCCCTCAAGGTTTTCTTTAACCCATCTATGATTTACATATTTTATAACTGCTGTATTTTGACTGAAATAGACATTTAGCTGTAGAACCTCTTTGTAGGTTTCTTTTTACTGTTGTGTATTTACTTTGTTAGCCTCATCTCCCTGGATTGGCAGATGCTCAGCCTGATAGGATTCAGCCAACAGTATGTCATCTTCTTATCCATGTCTATGTAAATGCCCTACTGTTTAAACAATTATATATAATTCCTTTTATTTTTTATACCAATCTGGAAACTCTTAGAAGCCAAGAAGCCTGCATTGCTCACCTATAGGTTCAAATACTTCTGTTTTGAAGAGTAAATCCAGTAATGCTTGCAATGGCACCCACTATCTACTTACTGTGATGTGGCTGTTGCTGCTACCACCACCGCTGCCCTTTGGCTCCAGTCAGTTACAGGTAGTCCTCCACTTACAACAGTCTGTTTAGTGACCGTTCAAAGCTAAAATCACACTGTAAAAAGTGACTTACGACCATTTTTCATATGATCATTGTGGTCACATGATGAAAATTCAGNTGTAATAAAAAGTTGAAACTGGTAATGACTGGCTGTTTTTAATTCCTTCTTTCACACGAATTATAATATTTAGTCATGTTAAAAAGAAGACAGAATTTGGACTAATGCCACTACAATGCTAAGTACGATATAACATATTTAATCTTCATTATGTCAATTGCAATGTTTCTATAACATCATTATATATCTCTTATCCAGAGAGAACAACCTGATAGATCAACATTACTCATCCATACCATATATCATGACTGTGCTGCGATATTATTGAAATTATATTATTATTGCACTAACCTAATACTTTGTAGGGTTACATGTTACCCAAGTCTGTAATAAAAACAACAAGTGGAAGCTTACCTCATGGAGTTTTAAGAACTGAGATCTTGGATTTATTGCTGTTTCCTTTTTGTATTTTTAAAGCTAGTTTTATAGGTTGTCAGAATGGGTTAATTCAACTAATTGAGGGCAGCATGATGGAGTAGAAAGCCTTCAATAAACCTTAATCCAATGTAAATGCCTGATTCCCTTTCTTTTTAAAAGAAATTTCTAATACCAATTAACATTTTTTCTGTTTTCTTTTTTTCTTTTGCTCTTTTGGACTGCCCAAACAAATCATTTCATATCAGATCTGCATTCCAGTTATCATTTTCACTAGTAGCACTGCACTGACTTTGATGTGGGCTAATTAAATTTACATTTCCTGCAGAGAGTTTGCAGTGCTTAAATAAATCAGAGTTGAAGAGATTGCTTGCTTGCTTGCTTGAAAAACATGCAGTAAATTTCTAAAGGTTTGATCTATATTTCATTTAAGTGATAGGATGCAACTTGAAGTAATAGGCAGGCTCCTAAAAGCATCGCTTTCTGTTTCGGCCCTCCCCAAATCCTAGGAAAAGTACTATTTTCCTGCAGTGTGATCTTATCTTGTAAATAACATTTTAGCAGTATGGGCAGCATTAAGTGAACATCCCACTCAGTGGTTAGGTAAGTAAGGCTGCTTACTTTGTCTACTGCGTTACTATTCAAGTCAGGTGTATCTGAAGATTCCATTGGTACACTCCTTAATAGTGTTAGGGTTGGGGTTAATAGAATATTTTAAAACACTGTCATGACTTGCTGACACAGAGAAATGATGAAGTCATCAATTTTGATAGTCTGTTTTAGAACATACCACTGGCTATTGCAAGTCATCGCCGCCCCATATGAAAATTGGCTACTGCAGTGATGCATTGCAGGATAAAGTCAGCCTACAATATGTGTATATTAAACATGGTTCTGAAAGCTACAGGACCTGCAGCCCGAACTATTTTTCTGTCTCGTATTTTGCAGAACATATCCTTTCAAATACACAGGCAGGCAGCCTTTTCAGCCTTATTTAAATCTGCAGCCATGTTAGTACATCACGCAACAGCCTAACGTGTGTCTTAGCTGGGGCTCCTCCTGCAATTGGGTGTGGCTAATGGGTCTTTTTTTCCACCACCATTGAGAAAAAAATTGGGAAGTGTATCCTCCTATTATAGATAGAGGTAGTCCTCGATTTATGACCACAATTGAGCCCAACATTTCTGTTGCTAAGCAAGACAGTTGTGAAGTGATNGTCAATCAAAGGAGGCGGAGGGGGAGGGCCTCTCCTCGCCATCCCGCTGTTAAGGGAAGGCGGCGGCCGCCAATGAGAAGCGGCCGAGGGACGGGACGTACGCCTCGCGCCGCCAATCCGAGGCCCTCCTGGGGCTTGTCAGGCAAAGCCGCCTCCCCCTTTTTTTTTTCCTCCTTCCCTTCCTCCCCCCCTCCTCTTCTCTAGCTTCCCCCCCCTCTTTCCACTCCTTCCTCCCACCCTCCTCCTTACCTTACTTCTCTCTCTCTTCCAACCTCCCTCCCCCCCCCGATTCTTTCCCAATTGGTTTGTCCCGCTCGGGCCCGGCGGCGGCGCTGGAGAGGAGCCTGCCCGCGCGCGCGCGCACTCTCTCTCTCTCGCTATACCGAGGACGGGCTCATTTCAGGGCGCCGCGGGGGTGGCCGGGAGGAGGGGGGGGAGAGCACGCGCGGCGGCGGCGAAGAGGCGCGATTTAAAGAGACAGGCGAGCCGGGGTGGGGGAGGGAGGGAGGGAAGCGGCGAAGAAGAAGAAGAGGAGGCGGCGGCAGCGGCGGCGGCGACAAGAGCGCACACACCCCTCCTCGCCCGGCGGCGGGGCTGCCGGGGCTCCTTCTTCCCCCTTCTCCCTCAGCGCCGCCGCCGCCGCCGCCGCCGCTTCCCCCGAGGCCTCCATGAGGTAGCAGCAAGCGCGCGACCCGGCGGCGATTCTCCTCAGGAGATTCTCTCCTCTCCTTCCCCTCTGAGGAGAATCTTCGCCCGCCGATTTCTCCCCTCAGCTTTGTGAGGCGGCGCCACTGCCGCCGCCGCCGCCGCTGTCGTCGTCGTCGGCGCTTTGTTCGGAGCGGCGGCGGCGGCAGCGGCAGGAGGAGCGGCAGCAGAAGCAGCAGCAGCAGCAGCAGCCGGGGGCGGGGTTGAGGCGAATCGGCGGCGGTGAGGGAGGAAGCGAGCGGGCGGGCGGCCGCTCCCCGGCACTGCAGTCGGCCGCGCCGCCCTGAGGGAGCGCGCCCGGGAGGAGGAGGAGGAAGAGGAGGAGGAGGAAGGGGGGAAAAAGCGGGGGGGGGGATCGGCCCGCAGTGGCCCCCCTCCCGGGGGAGGATTAGGAGAGCAGCCCCTTCCTCAGCCGCCTTCTTCGCCCGCCTTCCCCCCCCCTCTCACCCATCCCCGCCGCCTCAGGAGCCTCAGCCGTAGCCGCATCGGCGGGCCGGGCGGGGGATTGATGTGGGGGCCTCGGAGATGAGTCCGCCGGCCGCCGGGTGCTGCCATGTGACCGGCTTCAAGGTGGAGAACTGGAAGCAGAACCTGCGGGTGATCTACCAGTGCTTCGTCTGGAGCGGCTCGGCCGAGAGCAGGAAGCGCAAGGTGAGAGAGAAAGAGAGAGACCCCCGCCCCGACGCCCTGCATGAGGGGACACCCCCCACCCAACCCCCGACCTCCCCAGAAAGGGAGCAGCGCGTTGCTAGTCCTCATGGTTTTGGGGCGGGGAGGAAAGGAGGAGGTCCCGCGGGAAGATCTCGCCTCTTCTCCGCCCCCAGCCGCGCGTTTCTAGTCCTCAAGGTGGCATCATCTTTGCCGTCCTCCTGGCCCCCTCCCCTAAAAGGCTTGCCACCCCCCACAACAACCCAAGCGCGTTTCTAGTCCTCATGGTTTAGGGAGGGGGGGGGCTGGTCCCGCGGGGCGATCTCTCCTCTACACCCCCCCTCGCGCGTTGCTAGTCCTCAAGGAGCATCTTCTTCCTCCGCCCCCCTCCTCTTCCTCGCAGGAACAGCGACCCAAGATTCTAGTCCTCATGGTTTTGGGGCAGGGAGGAGGGGAGTGCCTCNCGAGTCAGTTGCCAAATGTCTGAATTTTGGGAATGCTGCAACAGTCGTAAGTGTAAACAATGACTGTAAGTCACTTTTTTCAGTGCTGTTGTAACTTCAAATGGTCACTAAATGAACTGTTGTAAGTCGAGGCTTTACCTGTATTGCTTGATTCTCTGGGGCAAATCTGATGATGGAAGTGAGTATATAAAGCAAAATTGTCTTCACTTTCCTCCCCGTATTCTGTATCCATATTTTAGTTGATAAATATTTTATAAGTGCTAGGAATTGTGAACTCTGCCTTTTTTGTATCATTGTTGCTTTTATAATATACAATGCTGTATTGCTACTATAGTTTACTGCAGTAAAACTGAAATTCAGTATGAATTCAAAACGCTTTTAAGATAAGCTTGAATCTTGGCAAATAAAGCAGATTTTCAGATAAGTGCATAGGCTCATCTATTTCTCATTTCTCTTGCACAGAACAAAGATGTTGATATAATTTCTTGTTAAATGAACTGCTAAATTCATACGCATCCACAGCTCCCTGCTCCTAATTTATGTTATCATAGTTTAAAGCATGGAACTTGTGGTTCTACCTTACCTTGAGGACACCAAGTTGTGGAAGTGATATTTGAAACAGTGACTGATTTCTTATTATAGTAAAGCAACTAATGATGGTACTGTACATAGAAGCCTCCAAAACAGTGTTCATAAATATATTTCTTCATCTGAGTGGGTTAAACCACTAAATAGTGTTGGTATTTACTAAGAGGAATGTTCTCAATTTAGTGCTGCACTGCAGGCTAGAAACATTTCCTATAAAACTATAGTTTTGTGAGAAGAAGCACTGCTAAATTTCAGAAATGAAAACTTCTACATTTTAAAACTCCTAGGCAACATTTTATAAGAGCTTATTGCAAACATTTATCTAATTATTTATCTTTTTATATAAAATTGTGACTTAATAACAATATTAGGATGGTAAAGTCCTGTTATATTCAATAAGCCTTTTAATTTACTGTGGCTTATATGCTGCTCCAGTCCAGAGGGACTCCGAGTGGCTTACATTCCTTTCTTTCGGTAAGAAGATTAAAACAAAACAATATCACAAAAAAGAAACACAACTTACAATAGCAAGTACAATTACAAATAAAACTCTGGCAGCTGATGAATAATAAATGCCAAATCCCTCTCAGGGTTTTCTTTAAAGGCCAAGTTTTTATCGGCTTCCTAGTTTGGTGTAGTGGTTAAGGCATCAGTTTGGGAACTGGGAGGATGGGAATTCTAGTCCTGTTTTAGGTGCAAATCCAGCTTGGGCCAGTCACTTTCTCCCACGCTTTCTGAGAATTGGACATAATTGAAAAAAAGAAGGAAAAAAAGCAATAGGGTAAGAACTAATCTGATTTGGAGGTAAATTATTCCTCAGAAGAAGAGTTGCAGCTAATATATCTCAAGTTTATTATAGTTGTACCAATTTTTCTTTCATGTTATGCTCCCTGATCCTTGTTCCACCTTCTGGGGATCTCTGCATCTGGAATTTTAGGGGACATTGATGTTTAATAGGCACTGTTTATGATCTTTATGCTGTTATCCCTACTTCATCCATCTACTGTATATGTGTGGTTGTGCATGCCTGTGGCTGCACAAAGTTAAAAGGAAGTTTTCCTTTTCCTTATATTTTTAATAAAAATATATTTGTACAGTACTTTTTACTTTTGCTTGCAGCTGCTGAAAAAGGGAGTGGGAATTATTGTTCTTTGGGCCACATAAGTCAAAGCCAGGATGTGATACTGCAGATTTTTTTTCTTTGTCATCATCATTACCCCCACTTTATTGGTAACTAAATCCTCAGGATATGAGTTGCCTTGTCTTTCTCACAAACCAGCATTAAGAGGAAGGATGCCATTGCCCTCCCGCCAATGGCAATGGAACAGTGGCAATGGAAGCAGAAGGACTACAAAATAGCTATGTCACAGCAGAAAGTCAGGATCAAAAGAACGAGTGGTACAAAAGGCTGTGTGGCAGTCGAGGGACAGCCTTTCTCCCTATCTAAACATACCAAGTTCTTGACCCAACATTTTTGGAACGGAATTGAATTCACAATCCCTTCTGGTTTTGTTTTATTATTAAAACATATAAATAATATCTAACCTTAAAGTTCAAATTAAAGCCTGGTTGTAGATTGGAAAAATGATGCAATGTTTGCTGCTTTTAATAAACATCTTGTTTATATTTTAGGCAAAGTCGTGCATCTGTCATATGTGCGGTGCCCATCTGAACAGACTTCATTCTTGCCTGTACTGTGTCTTCTTTGGCTGTTTTACAAAGAAACATATTCACGAGCACGCAAAGGCAAAGCGACACAACTTAGGTAAGTAATTATCCTGGATTCTTGCATTAAAATTATTTGTTTATGAAGGCATGAGCTTTACAATATGGAAAATCCTGCAGTTAGATTGAATAAATTCAGACAGGTTGTCTTTTTTGGCTAAAGAGAATATTCCATATAATCCAGGCAGGAGGGTGTTTTTTTTTTAAAAAAAAA